GAACTTAACTAAAGCAAGTGGCACTGTGCCTGGAACTATGTCACAGATACACAACTGCCATTAGAAAGTCACCTGATTCCACATGAACATATGAAATATACACATCTGTACTACTCGCGCCCTTAACACTTCAGGCATGTTATTTACGTAACAAGACACTACATCTACTATGTCTCTAACCAAACACATACGAAAAGTGGATTGTTAGCATGATTCAACTAAATTTTATTTTCCTGCAGTAATGGGGATTGAACCCAGTGGTGCTACATCAAGGAGCTGCAGTCCCAACCCCCACCCTCCGGACCCTGCTTTTAATTTTGGGGGGGCAATAGGGTGGGTGCTGCAGATTGAACTCAGTGGCATTCAACTCCTGAGCCCCACCCCCAGCTCTTTTTTGTAAAAGCAGTGATAATCAGGATGAAACAGGTCTGCAGGAATCTCAGTGATTCATCTGGGTCTCATGCAGTTGTTTAGCACCCCACTGATGCTGAGGCTGGCTTTGAACTCACGATCCTCCTGCCTCAGCCTCCGCGGAGCCACTGGGATTACAGACATGCACCCACCACTCCTGGCCCTGCTTTGAAGACAAGGTCTCACTTAGTTGCTGAGGCTGGCCTGGAACTAGCATCCCTCCTGTCTCAGCCTCCCAATGTGCTAGGATTACAGGCATGTGCCACCGCTCCTGGCCCAATTCAGTTAAACAGTAGACAAATTTTTCTATATTGAATTTAAAAACTCTTAAGATTTTTTTTTTTGTCAAGCTTCCAAATTCCATATTAAGAGCAGACATATAATTTAAAGAGACATCACAGGGGTAAAAAAGGGGTCTTAAATAAGACAATTATAAAAGGGAGATTTTAAGAATGTAATTATCATCCCCAAAAGAAGGCTCAAAGTTTGAAGATCATTAAGATATATCAAGGTGAGGCACATCAATGCCCAGGGGCAATGAACACTTTCCCAGGTTCTCCTGATCTCTTCTGATAAAGGTAGAAAGCCATCGTCCCCTACCTGGACAGTACCTATCTGTACACTTGGTATTTAGACCAGATGAATCCCTGAGATTGCTGCAGACCTGTTTCACCATGATGATCAGTGCTTTTACAAGGAACAACTCCTGTGCCCACTGAGCTCAGCACGTTAACACTACAGGAAACATGGCCCTTTGGTCATGTAATTACCTTCTACAAACCAAACACAGGAATAGGTCATTCCAAAAGAACAACTGAAGTTAAGAACACCAAGTCAGAGCACTTGTACTTTCTGTGTTTTGTCACAGCTTAAAATAATCATCGCAGCAGCCTCTACTAAGTGTCTAATACACACCAAGTTCTTTGTATATTAATGAACTTAATCTTTACCGTAACCCTGAGAGGAAGGTCTGAGATTAGGCAACCTGCCCACGATCCTAAACACGCAAGTGGAAGGCAGGGGATTAACCTGAGTCCCAGAGGCCAAGCTCCTATCCTCTAACATCCCAGGATCTGGCCCCTGCCGCCCTGATCCCCTCCCTGATTCTGAGGAACCGTTTTCTGTGAAATCTAACAGAAAAAAACGTTTCCTGTGAAATACTCTCTATCATCCAAGCCTTTCAACCCCAAGTGGTCACCTTCAGTTCCTCTAATCAAAATTAAGACAATGTACAAATAAGTAATCTCCAAAATACTAACCACATCACAACATGTTTTACATATTGGCTTACTTTAGCTATTTTTCCAAATTTCTTCTCTTAAATGGGACTACTGGACACAAGACTGGGCCTCAAGAAATCAAGTGAGGACTGGGGTTGTGGCTCAGTGGTAGAGCACTTGCCTAGCAAGTGTGAGGCACTGGGTTCAATTCTCAGTACCGCATATAAATAAATGAATAAAAATAAAGGTTCATCGATGTTTTTAAAATTTATATACATTACACACACACACACACACACACACACATATATATATAAAGGAAAAGAAATCAAGTGAAATATCACCAGGTACTCTGATCTTTTCCATTGTTTATAAGGCAGTCATTTTTTTTCCTCTCTCCCCTTCCCCTTTTTTTTCCAATGCTGGGGATTAAACCCACAGCCTCACACTGCATGCCAGGCAAGCACTCTACACTGAGCCACATCCCCAGTCCCTACGGCGGTCATTTCTGTCAACAGCAGTGACATGTGATTACTCTGTTAAATGACCACTTTAAATCAACACTATGTACAGATTCCCTGTGACCGTTCCTCTTCCCCAGTGGAGTGCTGCCTTGTGATCATTAGCGGTTAAGGACAAGCCTCCACTCCAATTTGCTAGTCCTATAACCTGTAGCCAGATTACTTCCATCTAGGCCATTTCCTATAATTTAGTACTTCAAACATGCATCTACCATTTTTGTGGAGAAAATCTAAATTTCTGAACAAAAAAACTACAATCCAAAAATATCTAATAAACTCTCAATGTTATGGCCCTTTAAGGTCTGTAAGACAATTTTGTAAGTAGGTTCCGAAATGTGACATACAATTTTGTGAAATTTTTATGTTAAGAAGATATCTGAAGGAGAAATGAATTTTTTTTCTGCCAAATAACTATTTTGAAATGTTCACAACACTCTTAAAGTGATGTTGAAAGGATAGAGTCCAGGCAAATTCATTGTGGAATCATAAATACCAGACCTCCACCTAAGAAACACATGCTCTGTCACGCTCATCCTACATTCTTGATACCTGATAAAATAATATCCAACAGTTAGCCTTAGTTATTGGAACAGTAAAACCCCACCGCCACCCCAAGTACTGAGGATTGAAGTCAGGGACACCTTACCACTTAGCTATATCCCCAGCCCTTTTTATTGGAGACAGGGTCTTGCCCAGGCTGGCCTCAAAACTGAGTTCCTTTTGCCTCAGTCTCCCGAACTGCTGGGATTACAGACATGTGCCACTGTGCCCAGCTGGAAACAGAAAAGCTTTAAAAGTCTTAGTAAATTCCTTCCACTGATCATGAATTTCATGAGACCAGCAACTCTATCCGGATTATCTAAGCAACAATGACCTCCACATCAATCGTTTTTGATCCTTGAGGGAGTCTTAGATCCTTCTGATGAAAGCTGGGGACCTTCTTCCCAGAGTTTTTGCAAAGTTCACAAGCCAATCTCCAGGCCCTAGAGAAGAACTGTGTTCTTTACCTTGCACCAAATGAAAGAAGAAACATGATGGCAATCTAAAACTCTGACAGAAAATCAACCTTTCCATTTACTCAATTTGTTAGGAAAAACAAGCCTCTTTACAGATTCTAAACCAAAGGCATTAGGGTGGTGAATTCGTTTGAAGGCAGCTCTGATCAAATGTATTGATCCTATGCACCCAGAACTCTTTCTCCTGAAACTTCACATAGTGGATTCTTCTTGCCTTTCAATATTCAGCTCAAATGTCATGTCCTCTGAAAAAAATTACTGTCATGACCATCCTATCTAAAGCAATCCTCAAACCCTTTTAAAACACTTCTTGCTCTTTTACTTTCACTGTAGTACTTATTAGCATTTAAGAATGTCTCATTTATCTTACTTTGACTGTTCTGTTAAGAGTATAACTCCACAAGAGCAAGGACTTTGTCTTGTTCCCCATTGAATCCTAAGTGCCTGCCACAGTGCCTAGCACACAGTGGGCATTTGATAAATAAAAGGGAGACCAATGCTAGTGTCAACTATAGATCTTTTAACTAATTATAAGTTAGATTTCTTTTTCCCTTTCCATAGTCTTCAGGTCCATTTAACCAGCAAATATTTATCGAGCACCTACTGTGTGTCAGACACTGTTGCAGTTGCAAGGAATACAGCAGTGAATTTCGGACAAGTATCTTTGCTCTGTAGACCCTATGTTTTAGGAGACTGCCCAGAATAAGCAGATGTCTTGCACACTACTGTGACACATCACCATCCACACACCTTCCTGAGGGAAAGAGCTAAGCAAAATCCCAAATACGGGGAAAACATTCTCCAACTGGGCACTTCCAAAGCAAGTCTCAGGGACTTCCCAACTGGGACGCTCTTCCCACCTGTTCTGCTCACGTGGGGGAACCCCAAACAGCAGAGCCCAGGTAAAGGAAAAACTTAGGGCAAGGACAACTGCTTCTGAGGACTTGGAGGTGGTGAGGGCAGGAACCAGGAAACAGAACGCCAAGAGTCGTGGCAAAAGCTCTGAGCATGGAGGCTGGAGAACCAGCCCTAGCTGTCACCAACTTGCTAGGTGACCTTGGGCCAGTCCCGCGCTGCCCGGGCATCCGTTCCCCCGGGGGGCACCAGGGGAGGAGGCCGGGAGGGTGGGATTTGGGGTGGGGGTGGGGGAAGCGGAGGCCAGGAGGCCGGGCCGGTAACGGCCGGCGCGGGGCCGGGCCGGGGCGGCTCACCCACCGAGCGCCACCTGGCAGGCCCTGCGCAGCTGGGAGTGCTGGGGCCGCTTCACCTCCTTGTCGGCTAGGATCTTCTCCAGGGCCCGGGACACGAACATGCTCTTGGTCTGGCTCTCCTGCATGGCCCCGGCCCGGCGGGGGCTGGCAGCCCCGCGGGCGGGCGGCGCGAGCGAGCGGACTAGCGAGGCTGCGGGCCCGGCGTCCCGGCCGGCACCGGCCGCGTCCGTGCGCGCCGCCCCGTCAGGAAGCGACGGCGCGGCCCCACGGCGTCGCCATGTTGGAGCGCGTCACGTGATCACGTGACTGGCGGGGCCGCTACGGCCGCTACGCGTCCGTCGACCCCGTGACCCGAAGGGGCGTGACCTACGCGGGGCGGGGCCAGGGAGGCGGGGCGAGCACGTGGGTGAAGGGAAGCGGGACCTGGGGACCCGGAGAAGGCAGGTGGGAGGGCCGAGGCGAGGTGCGGGCTGACAGAGGAGCGGGACCGGAGATGGAGTGGAGATGAGGGAGGGAGGGGCGGGGAGAAGATCCGAGTGATGGGGCAGAGGCGGGTCTGAGGGCGGGGGAGGTTGGAGGAGGTCGACGGAGAGGAAGGGGAGGAAGAGGAGTGGCGGGGGACAGGAGGGAAGAGGAAAGGGGACGAGGAAGGTGAGAGCCAGAGAGAGGCGGAGGGGAAGAGTGACGAGTGGAGGAGGTGAGGACGCGGGAAGGGACGATGGGGCGGGGGGAAGCCCGGGAGGAGCGGGGAAGTGGGGACGGTGCGGAGGGGCCGAGCCGAGGCCTTGGGAAGGACGCGCCAGGACGGGGAGAGCCGAAGGCCCAGGGGCGCTTCACGGGACAGGCACGGGCCACGCAGCTCTCCTGTCGCCACGGTGCCGCCCGCTGGGGCAGCCAGCGCAGGAGTGGGCCGCGCTGCCCTCTGCAGTTTCTGGTCTGTTTTCTGCACCTGGGCTTCCTCGCCGTGCAGTGGGCAGGAGAGGCGGCTTTGGTGCACTTGACAGGGGAAGAAACTGACTCTAAAGACTAGCGGGTAAGAAACAGAGGTCCTGGCCCCAGGGCCACTTCCACTCAATCCCAAAACAGAGTTGCTGTCACAGCAGCCATAGTGCTGTCCCCAGCCCCCTTCCTCTCACACCACCTGCCTCCCCGTGGGCAGCCTTGCTACTGAGGGTCACTCAAGGACAGATGTCATTCTTGGACATCATGGGAAATTCTCTCATAGGCTTGTGCAGATGCTCCGGCCTCCAGTGTCTTTTGTCGGCCCTCCCCAGCCGCTTTGCCTTCCCTGGTTGGTGTTTTTCATGGTATTTACTGGCCTTTTTGTTTGTGGAGTCACTAGAGTGAGCCTTCAGAGGGGTCTGCTGGGTCCCCAGGGCCTGATCCAGAGCCAAGTGGAAGGTTTTATGGCCATGAATTCCCTAACTTCCACTGACTTTTAATGTGCATTGCTGCTCCTCCCAACAAGGGGTGGAGTCCTCCTTAATCCCCTGGAACTGGGCTAGCCTGTGACTTGCTTGACCAGCAGTGAGCTGCTTGTGCACCAGAGCCTGGGTATCAAGAGGCCTGGCCCACTCCTTCCTTTGCTCCTGGAATGCTGCATGATGCTCCGAAACAGTCCTGGAAGAAAACCCACATGGACACAACCCAATTTCCCCAGCTCCTACAGTCAGGTCCAGTCCCCAGCCAACATACAGCTGAACACAGCAGCATGAGAGACCCAGGGACATGAGTAGAACTTGCTGGACAACTCATAGAATAGTGGACAACACACAAGTGCATAAGACAATGCACTTTGGGGTAGCTTGTTACACAGCAGATCACGGACAACCCCCCCACCACCACCATATCCTTGTGTAGTGAATGAGCGGGTGAGTGAGTGTGTGTAATTCTCAGAATTACCCTGCAGTCTACCTAGTGGGCAAACAAGTTTTGAACGTTGGCCTACAGCAAGGTCGGACCAACTCATTCCCCTGCTAAACACCCAACAGTGATTTTCCATTGACCTTGGGACCAAGTCTAAGTGACAGTCCAGCAAGGAGAGGTTGGGGTCCTGCTGATTTCTCCCACCTCATCCCCTCCCTTCCCCCTCCTCAGGACCCTTGGGCCACTTTAGATTTCTCTTTGTCCCTTCCAGGATTTGGCTTACATCCTCTGCGCCTCTGGTTCAGCACTTCTCCATGAAGGCAGTCCCACCCCAGGGACACTTTGAAATTTTATGGGAAGACTATTTTTTATTGGCATAACGGGGAGCAGGGATGCTAGACAGCACCCCACATACAGCCGGACAATCCCATCTAGCAAAAAGGCAAGCCTGTGGGTGACTGCCCAGCCCAGACCCTGAAACCACTTGGCACATAAACAAAGAATCAGCCAGGCACAGTGTGCACGCCTGTAATCCCAGCAGCTCCAGAGGCTAAGGCAGGAGGATCGAGAGTTCAAAGCCAGCTTCAGCAACTTAGTGAATTAATACACACACACACTTGCGCGCGCACACACACACACACATATATACACACGTATGGCTGGGGATATGGCGCAGTGCCCCTGGGTTCAATTATCCCTGGTGCCAAAATAAATAAAAAAACAAACACAAAGAATCTTTGCACTGTTTTAATATTACTAAGTTTCACCAGACCCAGCAGGGCTCACCTATAATCCTAGTGTCTTAAGAGGCTGAGGCAGGAGGATCTCAAGTTGAGGCCATCCCCAGAAACAGTGAGACCCTGTTTCAAAGTAAAAAATAAAAAGATCTGGGGGTGTAGGTTAGTGGCAGATTGCCCATGGTTCAATTCCCAGTACCTAAAACAAACAAAACCCCCTATTTTCCAGAAGTGTAACTGTCATAGTAACTTAAAGAAAAATGCACTCCGGCTGGGCGCGGTGACACCTGCCTGTAATCCCAGCCGCTTGGGAGGCTGAGGCAGGAGGATCACGAATGCTAAGCCAGCCTCATAAATGGCGAGGCACTAAGCAATTCAGTGAGACCCTGTCTCTAAAATGCAAAATAGGGCTGGGGATGTGGCTCAGTGGCCAAGTGCCCCAGTGCCCAACCCCCAAATGCACTCTGTGCTGGGACCTTACCAAACACGCCCATTTGAAGACCACAGTACCCATGCTCTTGCAGCATCTGAGCGGCCACAAGGCTGTTCTGTTCAGTGTGCACTGCAGCTGTCACCGTTGAGGGGGCTCCCCTGTTGTTCTAGGGGACATGCGTGAGCATTGTCTATTGAAATAAAATTAGCAAATTATACATCGCTTTCCTTTTTGTTCTCTTTGTTTTCTTAGGTTATTATCTTTTATTAAACCTGTGTGTGGGAAGGTTTTATTATCTCTGCATTTCATTTTAGATAGTTACCAAAGGCGTTTATTTATTTTTAAAAGGGGAGGGTGTGGTGCCTATGAGGTTGGTGAACACACTGGCTGTCCCCTCCCCACTAACTGCTCTTGGTTCAGTGTCCCTAAAAGAGGGTCCTCGCCAATCTCCCGTCCTCTCCCTCCTGCCCCACCTCCTCCTTCCACACATCTTGATTTATTTCTTAACTGCAGTAAACTTAATTTGGAAGCGTGGTGTTATTTATCTGTGTATCCGTTCCCTATTGCCTCGTAACAAATGACTCAATCACCAGCTGGTTCAAGTCAAGCATTTATTGTTTCCGTTTCTGAGGGTCAGGAATTGGAGAGCAATGTGTACTGGGGGGGGGGGGGGCTCTGGCACAGGGTCCCCTCTGAGATGGCAGGCAGTGTGTACTCTGGGGCTGCCAGCACCTGAGGCTCCACTGGGGCCACAGGATCGACTTCAGAGAGGCTGCTCATGGCGTTGGTGGGAGGTCTTCGTCCCTCCCATGTCCACAGAGTGCATGAGTGTGATCAGATGTGGCAGAGAGAGAGGGGGGGAGGGAGGAGGGGACTGGCTATAGGAAGCAGAAGTGGGTTTTTTTTTGTGTGTGTGTGTGTTTGCTTTATCTCCAGAGGTTCACCATGAAGACTGATCAGAAGTGCTGATTTGGCAGCTCAAATGCCATGGTAGGTTGGTGCTGGAGTCTTAGAGTAGTGAACACTATTTTTTTTTTTTTTTAGAGAGAGAGAGAGAGAGAGAGAGAGAGAGAATTTTTAATATTTATTTTTTAGTTATCGGTGGACACAGCATCATTGTATGTGGTGCTGAGGATCAAACCCGGGCCGCACGCATGCCAGGTGAGTGCACTACCGCTTGAGCCACATCCCCAGCCCTGTGAACAGTATTTTTTTAAATACTTTTTTAGTTGTAGAGGGACACACAAAGTCTTTGTTTGTGAATTTATTTTTATGTGGTGCTGAGGATCGAACCAGTGCCTCACACGTGCTAGGCAGCGCTCTGCCACTGAGCTATGGCCCCAGCCCAGTAGTGAACAGTATTTTATAAAAGTTCTGCACTTTGCCTGGATGGCCACATGGATAAGCAGTTAGTGACTAGGTCGGATCCCCACTCAGGAGGAGAAACATCAGGTTTTAGATGGACAGGAATGTCCCACGATGTGTTAATCACACACCATCTTGCCTTCCCAGGTAGAGCGGGATTCCCTGAGGGCAGAGACTGGCTGTCTTGTTCACAGCTCTATGTTCACAACACATAGTAGGTGCTAGGTAATCACCGAGGGGTGATGGATGGAGAGGCTCCAGTGAGCTCTAGAGAATTAAATACTGAATCAGCAGGTATGGGGGGCAACTTCTGGTCCATGGTAGGCACAACAGAGGTCCCCTCAGATGCCACAGCTCCAAGAACCCATCACCCTTCTAGCAAAAATGTTGAAGAGACCACGTCAGTACTCCTCTTCCTGGGTAACAGAAACTCCAATTTTCTGCTGGATACATGATAATCTGGAATAATGACATGTTTATCAGCCTCTCTCGGGGGGGGGGGGGCTCTGTGGCCATGTGACTAAGTTCTAGCTGATTGGATGCAAGCTATAGGAAGAACCTATTATCTCCTCTTCCTTGGTTCTACTGACTGGAATGCAAATTAAATGGCTGGAGCTCCAGCAAAATTTTTGCTGTAAAACTTTGCCCTCTTCTTGCTGCTCCCGACTCTAGCACAGGTGGACTTTAGGCTGTGTGTAGATAATGACCTCTCTGGTTTTGAAGGCTGCTCCCATCTGGCCTGTGGCTGGGTCTGCCTTCCTCTATCTTGGTTAGGCCACTCCCATTTCGACTCTCCTTGTCTCTGTCCCAGGACAGGGAGTGGTCTCCAGCTCTTCTCCTCCTTCTGCCTCTTCTGTTCCTCCTGTGTGTGCCTGTGACCCTGTCTGTGGTCTGTCTACCTCGCCCTCATTCTGTTTCTGCTTTGATCCTATTTCTTTCTCTGCATTCTCTTGTGTCCCTGTCCCTGTGGCCCTATGTCCCCGGTCCCTGTTCTCTGTCTCTGTTTCTCTCTCTCCCTCAGTTATGGTGACCATATGTAGAATATAAAAATACAGGATGTTGGTTAAATCCTAATTTCAGACAAGCCACCAACACGTTGTGTTAGTATAACTGTGTCCCATGCAGTACTGGGGACACAGTTGCACTAACACAGCGTTTCGTCGTTTGCCTAAAATCCATATATAGCTGGATGTGTCACAGCATGTATCTGGCAACCTCCTGCCCGTCCTCTGTGGGCAGCGGCTCCGCTGGGCTCATGAGTCTGAACAAAGTGGCTGTCATCAGAGGCGAGAGAGGAGGCCCCTGAGTCCTTGCTGTTCCGAGAGCCTCCCGGACCCTGGTGCCCGCCTGTCCACTGCTACTGGGTCAGAAGCGCACGCCTCTCCTCAGTCCTCTGTCCCAGTCTGACCCGAGTCTTAGGTGACGCAGTTGGCCCCCAGCAGGGTCTGCTCTGACTCCTGCTTTCCCCTGGGTAATGCCTCCATGTGGCGACCAGAGCCGGTCATCAGGGCCTGGTGGGGCCGTGGCCACCTTGCTGGCTGCCCGTCAGGTTTCTCCCGCTGCACAAGGGCCCTCTTTATCCTCGGGCTGTGCTGGAGGCCTGCCCTCCTCCTGGGCCCAGTCTCCGCGGTCGCTCAGGTGGCCCCACCCTGGCCCTCGACGTGCATTTTCCTTGGGCACTGAAGGTGACGTTCAGGTGCGGCTCTGGCCTCCCCCTCAGTCGGGGCTGAAGCACCCCTTTCTGGACCTCGATTCAGGAAGAGCGTCAAATGAGGACTGGTGAGGTTCTCACCAAGGGAGGATCTACCAGTCCCTCTCCGTCTGTCTGCTGTCTCTCCACCCATCCGTCCATCTCTCTCGGTGGTAATCTGCTCACCTCCAGAGGCACCGAGACGTATTGCTGGGTTCAGCCTGAGTGGAGACATCTCTATTGGACCTGGCCCGCGTCTTTGGGCTCCCCAGGAAGAGGACCTTGAAGAAGCATGGAGTGTGGTGGTGACATGCTGGTGCCCCAGGACACATGGCAGAGGCCTGGGGATGGAGGCAGCCAGTAGCTGCACAATGGCTGGCCAGTGACCTCCCAGGGTGACCAGGGTTCCTGGCAGTGGGGAGCGCGGGGAGCCTGGGTAGACCTGCCTCAGAGCCGCTCCAGGAGAGGGAGCCGGAGCCGGCTTGGCTCCCTGCGCCCCTCTGTCGTGGCCTCAGGGCTGCTTGTGGGTGTTACCCCTGACTCTGTCCTCTGCCCAGGCTGACAAGCCCCAGGGCCCAACACCGCAGGTGCCCACAGGAAGTGGCCTCCTCCAGCCAGGGGGTGAGGGCCGAGGGGGTGGCTGGGCACAGTGGCATCTGCTGCACATGGTTTGTACCCTTGTTGTTTTTCAATAAGCCAGACTCTCTGTGCGAGGCCCTCATAGGCTGCAGACGTGCTCGGCGCGCCCAGGGAGGACAGAAGTGTCAGCTGTTGGCACAGGGGACCGCTGAACCTGCAGGACAGGTGGCCATGCAGGGTCTCTGCCCAGCCCCCAGAGGTCCTCTGGGCCCTGCCAGATGACAATGCCCTGCCAGGCTCCTGTCCCCATTATTGCATGGGACTCAGTTATACTAACACAACATGTTGTGGCTTATCTCACTCCCCCGCTCTCTGCTGATGCTTTCTGGAAGCACCTCTCAAATAAAGCCCTTGTGCCCAAATATTTGTCTGAGGGCGTTGTTCTTAAGGATTTCCACTGTGGCAGGATAACAGACCCCGAAGATGCCCTAGGCACATGCTTCTTTGCCCTTTCCTCCTCTCCTGGCCAGAATGTGGGCGCAATGGCTGGAACTGGAGCAACTCTTTTAGACCATAAGGCAAGGCACTAAATGGAACCAGAGAATCAAGACTAATCAGAAAACTGAGAATGAGGCTCAGGAGATAGGTGGCAACGAAGCATTGGAGAGACTGGATATCACAGCGAAGCACATTCTGGAAAGGCTGCAGCTGCTGTGTCGGCCGGCGCTGCACCCCTTCTCGCCTTGTCTGCTTGCTGGCGGTGCCACCCTGGGTACCGCACTTGGCCATCTGAGCAGTGGGACACTGACAGAGCCGGCCTCGTGCTCTGTTAGTGAGGACATGTGTTGATGCATATAAAGCACCTGGAGTATTCCCTGCACACAGTAGGTGCTTTGTATTTCCTTCTCTCCATCACTAGATGGTTCTCGAGCCCTGGTCACTGCAGTTATCAAAACACTTTATTGTCATGAAGCTCAATTTCCAGTGTGGGGAAGAGGACAAGAGATGGTTACGTTAGGGGACAGGCAGATGAGGAAGGGAACCCGAGGTTAAGGGAATAAATCTATAAAGTGGGCCCCTGTGCCGACCCCCACATCTTTCTTTTCCTAGAAGCAATTTGCCTGCACCCTGCCCGGTCTCAGTGGACAGGACATGTCACATTCCTCAGCAAACTACCTGTCCACTTCAGGGGAAATGCAGGCCCAAGTTACCCTGAAGGTAACCAGATCCTGAAACTCTGGGAGATAAGGATAGTTCCTCTGCATCAGAAAATCTGTAGGAATGTGTGATAAAGAATCCAGTTAGAACCAGTCAGCTTGGGCCAAGGTGACCTGGACTTGTCATGGCAGTGGGGACTTGAAGTCTGATGTCACCCTGCTGTCAGTCAAAAGTCAAAAGGTGGATTTGGGTGGGGCTCTCTGGAAACTTCTCTGGGATCCCCAATAAAGCTGGAGTACAGCAGAGGCAGGCTGACCCTGTCCTCTCGGAGAGGACCCCTCTCTCCCTTTCCGTAGCCCTTCAAGAGACCCATGCCTGTTACTCTGAGCACGTGTCTGGAAGCTTTCTGACTTCATTGCAAGAATCGGGGTTTGCAGGAGGGTCTTCAGCTGACTCAGGTTCCTGGAGGCCCCCGCTCTGTAGCAGTCACAGCCTCATTGTATCCAACTTTGGGATTTCATCAGGAATTAGTTGTGGTCATTTAAAAATATGTCTACAAATTTGTTGGTCCTTCTCCTGTGGCTGGGTGAGCTGGAGACTGAAAAGCGTGAAGTGGAAGAGGGCTGCTGGGTGACTTCTGAGGCTGGTTTGTAGGAGCCGATTCACTCTGCCTGAGCCAGGTCAGTGGCCCGGAGTCCACCATGCTGTGAGGAAGCCCAAGTCACCCACCCGGGGAGGCACACAGAGAAAGGAAGAAGCCTGCTGCCCCCAGAGCCCCAGGCCCCGCTGACTGCCACCACATGAGAAGTCTCCAGCCAGAAGGGCCAGCCACGGCCTCCCTGAATTCCTGTCCCACAGAAACTAGCAGAAGAAATGATTTTTTGTTGTTTTAAGCCCCCTAATTTTGGGGTTTGTTATACAGCAAGAGAGTCCAGAACAGTCATTTAACCAAAGCGATTTGAAAACCACAGAAGGGCTCCCCGCGCTGGTGAGGTGGCTCTGAGAGAGCTCCTCAGAGCTCCAAGCCCTGTGGAAGCTTCCAGCATTGCCCCGGGGGAGGGCGGCTTGGACCAGGACTGCTGCCTGGGAGGGAAGAGCAGGCAGGTTCCAGACAAGTGTGGACATTTAAATGAACTGTCGGGGAACAGGAGGATGCGAGGACAAAGCCTGGGAGGGAGTTTAGGGTGACCCCAAGTTTCTTGCTTGGCAAACACGATGGGTGGTAGGACGTTTCCCAAGACAGGGAAAAGCTGCTCTTGGGAGAAGAATGGTCCAAGAGTCCACCTGGCAATGCACACTCCTCCTGAGCAGCCAGCCTCCCACCACGGCCATCGGAGCAGGAAGGAAGAGGGGCCCCCAACCCGTTTCCTTAACCCTGATGCCTTTTGTGTCTCGGCCACCAGAGGGCGCCAACGTCGGGCGGTTCTGTCCACTCCGGCTGCTCCTGCGTCACTCTCAGAAACTGGGACGTCTGGCTCCTCTTGCCTCTGAGCTCCCCGAGGCCCCCACGAGGTCTGACCACTACCCCCGGCGCCAGAAAAGGGCTGCTGTTGGCTTAGTTGACCCCTCAGTGCTGACCAGAAAGTCTCCTCCCCACAACTCCCCACCCGAGCCCCCGCACCCCGCACTCCTGGGGATGTCCTTTATTTAGTTTGCACTGCCAGCCTTCGGTGACAAACCAGAGAAGTTCGCCTCTGAACCTGGACTCCGCCTTGCTCTCCTCAGTGACCGCAGTCACCCGCGCCCCTCTCTGTTGGTCCCTCTCGTGGCGGTTCTTCAGCTGGGACCGGAGAGCACGGGGAGCTGTCTCCTGGGGCTGTCCCCTCCCTGCCTGGGTCTTCCTTCACGTGACTCCAGGCCCGAGCTGGCTTCCCCATGCCTGTGCCTGAGGCTGACTTCCAAGCTGGATCCTCCAAGGCCTTGAGTCCCAGAGCTCCAGGGCCGGGAGCAGAGGGACCAAGGCTCCGGGTTTCCGTGAATGTCCCATGGGGAAGAGATTATTTGGCGATAGAATCCGTCTGTTCCTAAAAGAACCAAGACCCTAGAAATCGCAGACCCCTCTGCCCTGGTGAAGATGGTTCCCAGACTGTGGGCGCTCCACTTCCTCCCCGCTCAGGGCTTTGCTACCCCCTGGTTTTCCCAGGGTCACAACTGGCTCCTGTTGCTGGTCCCTCCGGCTCAACCCTTGATTGAAGCCTTTTCCTGGTTTGGGTTTGTTTTGTTGTTTGTTGTTGTTCTTTTCATAGCCTGAAAACTCCTTAGGACAAGAACCACTTTTTATCCATCCTGAGTTCCTTAGAGCCAGGCCACCCACCCTCCCCAGCCTCCCCCGTACAACCAGCCACAGTGCAGCACGTGCGCACACGCGCATACACACGCACACACACACGCACACGCACACGCATGCACACTCGCGCACACAAACACACACACGCATGCACACGCATGCACACATGGCCTCATGCCGCAGTCCGGCTGCAGCAAAATAACCGGGGGGTGACAAGCAACTTGTGTACATTGATACAGCAGGAGTGGGAGCCGTTTATTGCAGGACAGGAGGGGTATATATACATTCCACACAGCTTATCTTAATTAGCATAAACTAGATACAGCAGTCAACCAATAAGGAATCTCCACACTTAATGGCTCGCTGACGTTACTTCTCAAACCACTCCCTCTGGCAAAATGCCAGGTGCCATCCTGACTTGTTTACAGACCCTAACAGCCTCACTCAACTGGAGTCTCACAAAAAGAGGTTGTGTTTGTTTATTTTACCAATTCATGGCACTTTAGGGGAAAACATAGCAATATAACCAAGTTTTCATGAACAAGTGCTGTTTATTCTAAAAATCTCCTTTCTTGGGGGGTACAATGTTCTTTTTTTGTGTTAAGTAATAGTGAAAATATTTATTTAGTGTTATTTTAGCTAAAGATCTTTACTGGGCAATGTAAAGAGTAGACCATCTTATGTTGGTCACCCGATCATTGATTTTTAAGAATTTTACTGGGTTGGAAAAACCCCGGAGATTAGGGGCCATTGTCTCACCACACCTAGCACAGCCCCTAAAGTAGAGCCAGAAAACACTGAGCTGCCCAATGACACAGTTTCACTTCTAGGTACAGACCCAGGAGAATTGAAAGCAAGATTCAAAAACCCCATACAGGACCGTCCAGTGCAGCATTATTCACGATCACGAAACAGTGTCGATGACCCAAATGTGCATCACAGGACGAATGGACAAGTGATAATATCCCATGCAATGGCATGGTACTTGGCCTTGGAGAAGAAGGATGTGTGACACACGTCATGGGTAGACCTCGGGACTGTCACACGGAAGACCCTCCAGTGCACACTTACATTCACATGGATTCCCAGAGTGGGCCAACCTCCAAAAACAAGGCAGATGGTAGGTGACCGGGGCTGGGGACGGGGTCTTGATGATGACCACCCACAGGTACAGGTTTGGAGATGATAAAAATGCTCTGAAACGGATTGTGGTGATAGTTGCCCGACTCTGTGACTGTCCTAGAAACCGTCGACTTACGTGTTTTTAAAGGGTGAATGGCAGCGTGGGTGAATTATATCTCAGTTAAAAAGCAAAACACAGCTGGAATTGCTGCTCCGGGTTCCCAGGTCAGTGACAGTCACCTTCTCTAAGGGTATCACCACCAGGGGGCTGTGCTGAGCAGCTGCCTGGGTGACGGAGGTCCCGACCACGGGTGCAGTATCTGCGGGGCACATGGCTGGTGAGTTTCTGGGGCTCTTGCTGGGGACAGGAGGTCCCTTCTTAGAGCTGCTCTGGTGTTCTGAGGCCTGCACACAACCAGGCTGTAACTATGCATTTGACGTTCTGAGCGCCCGCCCTGCGCGAGCCGGGAGCCGCGGAAGGCTCAGCCCTGACCTGACATTGGCTTCTAACAGGATCCTTCTGGTGGTGAGTGGAGACTATGGGGACAGAGGGACTGGGAGTGAGAAGCACCAGTGGCAGGTACTAGTGGAGGAGGTGGGGAGGGGTCGGACTGGGAGCATTTGCTGATGGCTGGTGCCGTGGAACACTCCTGTCATCCCAGCGGCTCGGGAGGCTGAGGCAGGAGGATCATGAGTTCAGAGCCAGCCTCAGCAACTGCGAGGTGCTAAGCAGCTCAGTGAGGCCCTGTGTCTCTAAATAAAATCAAAATAGGGCTGGGGAGGTGACTCAGTGTTGAGTGCCCCTGAGTTTAATCCCTGGTAACCCCCCCAAGAAAAAGATTTACTGAGGGCATGAAGAGGGTGGAGAAGGGGGTTCCCGGAGGATTCCAGGGTGGTGGCTGGTGTGAGGGGAGGCAGGAGGGTGGCGCTTGCTGAGGAACAGTGTGCAGGGACACAGGGCTGGAGGGCAAAGGCCCTGTTGGACAGCCCAGTGTGGTGTTGAGGGGCAGCTGGACATCCCAGCCCGGAGTCCAGGGGAAGGCCCAGCGGTGGCTGTGGAGTCCCCAGAGTCTAGAGGGTGCAGTCCCCAGGGAGTGGGTGTGGGTAGAGCCAACAAGGGGACAGGACTGGGGACCCCTGGGTGCCTCGCACCTGGCATCTGGGGACAGGAGCAGGAAGGGCCGGGCAGGGAGCCGAGGC